GGGTATATAAAAACCTCCTAATTAATATATTTCTCAGTGTAATTCTGTATATTTTATTTAAAATGAAATATATATTTTAAATAAAACATCTTTTGAGATATCTTAATTTTATTTAATTGTATATTTTTGTAAGCACTTAATTTGTGGCTACTCCTTGTTCAAGTCACAAAACAAAAACACCTGGTAATTATAAAATGTATTTATTCATTAAACTTTAATACGCTTAGTGTAAATGGCGGACTTAACACTATATGGTGTTATCTACCAGTCCACCGTAGACAGGAATAATGAGCAAATAAATGGAAAAACTAAAATAATTTAAAACAAATAATAATGATATCGATTTATACTAGCGGGGAATCAGTGAGAATTGATATATATACATACATACATACATATCGGTCACCTCTCCCATTAGGGTAGGCAGAAACAATGGAACGCCAAATGCTTCGATTCAAACAAACCTCTTTCGCTTCTTCCATATTCAACAATCTTTTCATACATGCTCGCCGGTTACGGGTACTTTTAATTTGGCCCTTTTTCAGCACGTCGTCTATTTGGCCGACATACGTCCGTCTAGGGCGGCCCCTACTGACATCTCCATTCATTTTTGCTCGATAAATCTCTTTCGTAATTCTTCTTTCATCCATCCTCTCCAAATGACCAAACCAACGCAACATTTCTTTTTTGATTTTTGTCACTACATCGTCTTGCAGTCCACACTTTTACACACTCTCTAATCACACTATTTCTAACTCTATCTTATATATACATACATATACATACATACATACATACATATATATGTATATATATATATATATATATATATATATTAATTCATTTATAAATATTGTGAGTAAAAGTGGACTTACCTCTGACAGATATCTCTTCCAGTTAACCCAATACAGTTAGAAAGCATGTCGTTAGTGGGTAGCTGAAATGCTACAACTATTGATATTTAGAATACATAAACAAATATATAATATATAATGATATTTCATATATCAATTCTGATGAACTCAGCTCAGTTACTCATCGTGACAAAATAATCACTATAATTCTCTTGGGAACCATGTGGGCGGTTATCTGTTAAGGTACCTGTTACCAGCAATGGAGCTGTTAGTTCTCGTTACTAGTAATCTTATTGTTGGTCATAGAATATAGGTAAACGTGAAGGTTAAACCGAATGCATACAAGTTTATTCAATAAAAAGCAATTTTCACTTCCAAAAGTTAAGCAACAGCGACCAATATTCAAAAAAATTGATGCGGTATCAACACAAATGGGTAAACACAACAAAGCGTTTATTGCAAATCAGTATCGATTGCAAAAGAATAATTATCAATATCGCTTCAGAATTGACGACATAATCGCGTAATATAGCCGTAAAAAATAAAATACATTCGAATTTAGAAAACTCCTCCGTTCGGAAGCCGCTTAAAAATGCCGTTCAATTCAATTCCTCCAAACTGGAACATGCACGGAACGATGTTTGTCGAGTTTTCATGGCCGTATCAATGGATAATTTTTGCTTTTCCATTACATACGCTTAAATTCACCAGTTTCACGAGTTCGATGTAATGTAATATATTAATACGTTATAGAATTTGTCACATTATTTGCTTCAGAATAAAATTAACTTTATTTACAGGACGATAAAGTCGAATGTCGTATTTTAGATTGTCTTGCGTTAAGCTTGTACCTCAGAGAGCGCACTCGTTATTTCTTATTGATATAAAAATTGGTAGCGATAAATAATTATTTTATTACTTCACGTTTTGTATATTATAATAATATAGGAAATGAAGAATAAATTATTATTTAATACTAGCTGTTGCCAGCGACTTCGTCCGCGTTTCCGTCGTTTTTCGTAAAATAAGTAGCCTATGTCCTTCCTCGCGGTTCAGTGGTTTTGATGTAACAGACACATAAGTATACTATAACCTGCCCAAGAGTATGAAGAATAATTGTACCAAGTTTCGTTAAAATCCGTCTAGTAGTTTTTGTTTCTATAACAAACATACAGACAGACAGACAGACAAAAATTTTACTGATTGCATTTTTGGCATCAGTATCGATCTAATCTAACTAATCACCCCCCGATAATTATTTTGTTTGGAAATATATTTCAAGTACATAATTGATGTCTCTACAGATTTATTATAAGTATAGATGAAGCATGCACACCAAAATGCGTCGATCTACATATTACGACACAAATATCATTATAGATATTTATTGTTATAGATCATTTACGATAACATGGCACATTATCATCATCATCATCATCATCCTTGTAACAGCTATTCTGTCCTTTACTGAATCTAGAGCTCCCTCGTAGACTGCCATAAAGAACGGTCTTGAGCCACCTGCATTCATTGATTAACGCATTTGAGGTTTTTTTTTAATAGATGATAATGGAATGATAACCCCGCCTGTGCTAATAGTATACGCTGACGGGACACTAGTAAGAGATGATAGGCGAAAACGAAAAGGCAGGTCAGTTGGCCCATCATGACAAATATACATGGAATTCAGCACGATGGTTTCTAGGGGGCCCACGGGGAAGTCGACCTGATATTGTTAGCAACAGGATTGATGGTCCACATTATTAACAATCTTTTCCCTCCTGTATTTGAGGTTATTCTCAGACGTTGGCTTTCCTTAGAGACTACAGTATGGGATTCTTCAAAAATGATGTATTAAATTTTCTTTAGCGTTGGCAATGCGCATGTGACTCCCTAATGTTCCAGGTGTCCATATGCTATAGTAATCGTTTATCATCAGACAGACTATAGACTTGTTTGCCAACTCCGTGGTATATAAAAAAAAAAAAAAAAACCAGGAAGCTAATTTATTATGAGTGTTAGAAAAGATATGGCATAGTATATGGTAGATACATCAAAATGCAGGCTAATTCAGAGTCTTGTCCCTTTGAAGCTTTTTAATCTATTTACGGATATTTTAGACGATTCCATTCCATTCCAAAAGGTCCCAAAGTCAGTTAATTATGCCTTGTTTGACATAATCGATGTAGATAAGTTTATTCTGGAGAAAGAATAAAATATTTGCGTTACTAATAGCTGACTATCAGGCGGAAATGTCTGAAAGATGGGCCGGGTGCTGACTCGGACGGAACAAGTCATGAACGTATTTTTTCTGTCATCCATCAAGTGAGGCTCGGCCGGCAGATTGATGAATACTCTAGTTAAAAACAGACTTGGCTTTAAAGGAATATTATTCTTGTGATTTTAGGCTAATACGACATCCTTATTAGCGGCTTATCGAAGGATTTAAAAAGACGAGTTTTTTCAAGTCCATAATTGCAGTATTTTTTAATCTACGTAGATTAATATTTAGTTTTCTTCAAAATGGGTAACAAGCACCCGACATCTCTGGTGTTTTAGACGTCGAAAAGCTACAGTAACTTTTTACCGTTAGACTAGCTATATACTTACTTACCACCTTTTTGGTATAAAAATATTTTGAATGATAACTTGATGAAATCAAGTAACAATAGTATCTATACAGATTCCCTTGAAAGCATATTCTTCTCTTAATATATACACTTTCATAAGTCGCTTCAGGTATACGTACAGATTTCAGCCACTTCGTTAAACACGAAGCCCTCTGATATGGTTTACCACACTACAGAGTTACGTGCCTTCTGTAGTGCAAATGGAGTTACAATCACGTACTCCACGAATAGAACCGACTTCCATTTTTTTATGCAATTTAGAATGGCAAACTGAGGACCCACCTGATGAAAAGTGGTAACTGTCGCCTATAGATAGGAGCAGTGCCATGGACATAACAGAGTATACTGTTTCGCCCATGATACCTCCCATGCGTTGCTATTCCTAAGGACTCAGGTGTTCTCCTCCTTCTTCTCCTGTTCTCCTTCCTTTGTACCCTGTAAATTGTAAATTCATTTGTGGCAAAACCTGTTACTCTGATTTAAAAACTAAACCACAGAATCGAAAAGACAAACATTTCTATTCGGCCAATATGTAAGTATATATTTTCAAATAAAGAATTTTCCAAATCGGTTTACAACTGATGAAGTTATGAGGTAACAAATGGAAAAAAATATATACAACCGAATTGAGAATCTTCTTTTTGAAGTCGATTAAAAATCACAGATTTAAATAGATTTAAACAACGACGATCATTTTTAAATACCCATAAACAAAAATTTAAAAATCATTTTCATTGAGATTCGATATTGGGTATCACAGATTAGAGTCAAATGTTGTTTAACTCAAATCATACGCTGTAACATCATATTTTGTACATAAACCTACCTCGTTAACTCCGGTTTTATCCTATTTTCTGAATGTTGGACAAACATAGTTGCACAGCACTCATTGTGCAGAACGCACCTTTTTAGAGAATATTTTTAAATTTTATATTTTTATTTTGTTTTTTGATATCTGACAATGTCATTGACTCTTTTCATTATTATATTTGTTCTCTACCACTAGCAGCGACCGTCTTATTATTTCGTAAAAATATACAGTCCTTTTTCAAGAGCATATCTCTCGTTAAAATATTGGTCCTCTCGCTAATAATAAAACCATGGTGGTAGAGACGCGATCAGTTAAAAAAGCGAACGCAGCAAGTATGGAGCAAGGCCAATTTTCTACCGTTCAACACGGAAGCCCTACCAGCTCCACACCAACTGCTGTCGCTCAGTTCGTTGGAATTCCCAGCGGCGCCGCTAGTTCCGTTTCAGGGTCTTCAACTACTGTAAGGAGTCGTACCTTAGAAATAGAAGCGGATTATGCTAAAAAAATTGCGATGCTGGAGCGCGTTGCATTGGAGCGTGCCAAAGAGCGCGAGCTTTTGGTTCGGGAGCAGGAGCGCATGGTATTGGAATAAGAGCGCGCCGCTTTAGAACTACAAAAACAAGCACGTATCGCCGCCTTGGAGGAGAGAGGTAGTATACGTACCCGTAGTAATCGTTCAAGTCACATCTCTAACAGAGAGGTACGAAAATGGTTAGACACATGTCTAGAGGCTATACCCTCAGTGGAAGTAAATGAGCAACCGCAGAACATTAAAATTAATACCTCCTGTAGTAAACCTACTACTAATAGCAATTGTTCTGCGGCATTAGCGGCACATTTACAAATATCGAACAATAGCTTTAACCCTGTGACTACCACAGATACTCAATATCTTCGGCCTATCCTAAAAGAATCTAATGTGGCTAATAATTTCGATGTTTGCACAAGCCCGGCGAGGGCCAGTTCCAGTGCGACTAAAATCAAACCGGTTTCCTCCACTATTAATAAAACTCCAAGTGATATAGCTTTGTTAGCAGAAGCAATTACATCACTTTCAAAAGAAAGTCAACACAACATAAAATTTGGAGATGGTCGTCTACCTTTTTTTGATGGCAAGCCTTTAGATTGGTTAACCTTCAAACGTGTATATGACAACACGAAATCAAGACATTCTGACTCGGACAACCTAACACGTATCAATATGGCGCTGCGGGGAGAGGCACATAATGCTGTAGCAGTGCTGTTAGTCTCCGCTCAAGACTCTACTCAGGTAATACAAGCATTAGCAACAAGGTTTGGTAGGCCTGAACTAATTGTTTTACAAGAAGTGGCAATGATGCGTTCTCTGCCAAAGGTCAACATCGATTGTAGTGACCTTCATAAGTTCGCTTGTCGTGTTCGTAATTCAGTAGAAGTAATGAAACTCTTAGAACAACGATGTTATTTAGAATCGCCAGAACTTTTTCAATCTATTCTTAGTAAACTCACACCTCTATTACGGACACGTTGGGCTGACTTTGCAGCGTCTCATTTCCATCAAGAGGTAACTAGACTCGAGCTCTTAGCCTCCTTCCTCACTCAAGAGGTGGATCTACAGCTCAAGTTTGGTCTCCTCAATGAACCTATTTATTACAATCGAAGCAATAAAATTCGTTCGGTTGCAATTAACAAACCATCCACGTCCATTGTTCCATACATTTTTCAATCTGAAACACATGAACAATCATCTAGTGTAACATCTCACAATAAAAAGATATGCTATTTTTGTAATGACGATCATAGCTTATCTCATTGTAATAATTTTAAGACATTGTCAGTTGATGACAGATGGAAATTTGTTAATGAGAAAAAACTTTGTCATAAGTGTCTTAGAAAAGGTTCACATAATTATAAAAGTTGTAATATTTCTAAGGAAATCTGCAACAATAAAAAATGCAATTCTAGACACCATAAACTATTACATATTGCTCATGTGGTTGAAAGTGAGGTTGAACATGGTGAATCATCTTCCACTCCTCAATCTGGAGAACTTGAAGGTTCTGATGAATCATCATGCAAACAAACGACTGATTTTATAGCTCATGCCAGTAACTCACTTCCATTATGCAATGTTCAACATCCATATTATCGACCTTTTTTAAAAATTATAGCTGTTGAAATCTCTGGCCCACGTGGTAGTGTGAATACTTACGCTTTGTTAGATGATGGGTCAACCGCTACTTTTATAGACTCGGAGCTCGCTGCAAAAATTGGAGCCCGAGGACCTACTGTCAAATCTCTTTTAAAATGTGTCGGCGGGTTATCAAAACATACAGAAATAGAGTATGTAGATTTTAATATTAGAGGTTGATAAGACGTATCAAGTCAAGCAGGCTCGTTCTATAAAAGATTTACAATTAGCTAAACAGTCTGTCTGTCCCCAAGATATTAGTAAATTTTCTTACCTTTCCGATTTGGCTTCCTATTTATGTTATGAGAATGCATAACCAAAAATTGTGATCGGAATTGATAACTGGCATCTTACCATACCGCAATCCATACGGAAAGGTACCAGAACGCAACCAGCTGCAATTAACACTGCTCTTGGTTGGGTTTTATTCGGTTTTAGTAGTAGTAAAACTAGTCCAGTTGATTTAGTGAATCATGTTCAGTGTAATGAAACAGATTTTAACAAGACAGATTTATTGGAAAATCTTATAAAAAATTATTACAAGTTGGATTCGATAGGAATTACTAAGAAAGAACCGCGTAGTGCAGATAATGAACGCGCTATTGAAATTTTAGAACGTACAGCTAATCGTCTTCCGTGCGGTAGATTCGAAGTCGGTTTATTATGGAAATCTAATAATCCTGTCATTCCTAACAGCTATCCTCTTGCTTTATCGCGTTTTTTAAGTCTTGAAAAGAAAATGATCAGTGATCCTACTTATGCTGAGCGTTATAAACAAAATATTCACGATCTCGTTACTAAAGATTATGCCGAGAAATGTCAAAATGAACCTTCTTCTAATTCTGTATGTTGGTTTTTACCTCATTTTGGCATAATAAACCCCAATAAACCGGCAAAACTTCGAGTAGTACACGATGCTGCCGCAAAAATCAAAGGTGTTAGCTTAAATTCACTTTTACTTACGGGTCCAGATTTATTGCAATCTCTACTCGACATTTTACTTCGTTTTAGAGAGGGTAAAGTAGCTATGACTGCAGATATTAAGGAAATGTTCCCTAGGTTCAAAATTATCGAACATGATAGAGATGCTCAAAAATTTCTTTGGCGCGACAGCCCTACTGAACCTATACAATCCTATAGAATGTCGTCAATGATCTTCGGAGCAGTTTCTAGTCCCTTTACAGCTATATATATGAAAAATAAAAATGCTCTAGAGTTTAAAGATCAATATCCCGACGCGGTTCATGGTATTATATACGATACTTACATGGATGATTATATCGGTTCAGTAGATTCTAGTGATGAAGCAGCTCAGTTGGCGGCAGATATTGTCAACATTCATGCGCGCGCAGGCTTAGAGATGCGTGGATGGGTATCTAATGACCCTAAAGCGCTCCGTCTATTGCCAAATCATCTTTTATCAGAATCGGTATCTAATATTAATCTAAACTTAGCGAATTTTCCGTCATCTACACCATGCGTCCGCGCTCTAGGATTATACTGGCACCCATCTAGCGACCTAATAGGCTTTAACACTTCTATTAAAAGTAAACAAGAAACTTTGCCTAGTTCGCTTACTAAACGTATTATATTGTCTTTAATTATGCGAGTCTTCGATCCATTAGGAATCCTCGCTCCAGTTGTTATTCGCGGTCGTATTTTATTTCAAAACGTTTGGCGTATGAATTTGGATTGGGACACGGAGCTCCCTCCTTCTGAACGCATAGCCTGGAAGGAATGGTTTCAAGATTTAATTATTACCGCCGAGATAAAAATACCGCGCTGTTATAACTTTCATAGGTTGAAACCAAATCAAATAGAGTTGCACGTCTTTGCCGATGCCAGCGCTCAGGCTTACGCAGCGGTGGCATATTGGCGCTTCGTTTATCCTAATGGAGACGTACAACTTACATTGATCTATAGCAAGTCACGTGTAGCGCCTTTAAAACCATCTAGTATTCCTAGATTAGAGTTGCAAGCTGCATTAATAGCCGCACGTCTAGCTACAACCATCGTAGAAGCAGTCAAATTTAAACCACTTAAGCGCACATTTTGGTGCGATTCGATGAACGTTTTGGGTTGGCTTCGTAATGATGCACGATCGTACAAGACATTTGTAGCTCATAGAGTAGGTGAGATAATAGAACTTTCAGATGTTAGTGAGTGGCACTGGGTTCCAACCGCTTATAATGTTGCCGATGATTCAACACGTTTAAGGCGAGGCCCTTTAACTTCAGACTCACGCTGGATAAAAGGACCTGAATTTCTTCTAACTTCTGATTGGCCTAAGGAACCTACTGTTTCCCATAATCAAACCATCCATACTAATGCACCCGAGACTCACATACATCTCATTAACGAAATTGAGTCGAATATACCAATTTCAGCGGATGCACAACGTTTTAGTTCGTGGACTCGTTTAATTCATGCCACAGCATATGCTCATCGTTACCTGTCATTGTTACGTCTTACTTCATTAAGAAAAAAAGGCCTGAATATAGAACTCATTCATAAAGTAGAAGGCCACATTTTTTCCTTTCGTCCGCTATCCAACTCAAACGTTGATCGACAACGCAATACAATACGTAGCACACTTACCGCGGAAGACTTACATTTGGCAGAAATTCATGTGCTACGTAAAAGTCAATTAGATTCTTTCTCACAAGACATCAAATGTATGCAAAACGGTTTACCCGTGTCACACCGTAGTAGGTTATCGAAACTGCCAGCTATTATTGATAAAAATTCCGTTTTACGTCTATCAACACGCATTGTAGCTGTCTCTGGAATACAAGAAGATACGAAGTATCCAATATTACTCGATGGAAAGAATCCTGCTGTTCGGTTACTTGTATTACGCTAACATCGCAAGGCGGCTCATGCTAACACAGAAATGGTCGTGAACGAACTGCGGCAAATATATTGGATAATAAACCTTAGGAGCACTGTGAGGTCAGTCGCATATAACTGTCAATTTTGTAAGGTTCCTAGATCTACTACTTTCCAACCACCTATGGGCAACCTTCCAAAGGCCAGACTTGCCCACCATTGTAGACCTTTTTCGTTTGTGGGACTAGATTATTTCGGTCCTGTAACAGTAGCAGTTGGTCGAAGGAGAGAGAAACGTTATGTGGCCTTATTTACGTGCTTGACCATTCGCGCAATCCATCTTGAGATCGTCCACTCGCTTTCATCAGATGCAGCAATAATGGCTCTAAGACGATTTATAGCTCGCCGTGGCACACCTTCAGAAATCCATTCTGATAATGGAACCAGTTTTGTGGGCGCGAATAGAGAGCTTCGAGCCTTATATTCAGAAGCGATGTCCGATTTTGCTGCGGGTGAAATGATCAAATGGAAATTCATCCCTCCATCAGCTCCTTTCATGGGAGGATCATGGGAAAGGCTCGTGAAGTCTGTAAAGACAGCATTAAAAGTAACTTTAGGCAACAATACAAGATCGCCCACCGATGAAATATTCATCACCCTACTTTGCGAGGCAGAAGCATTGGTAAACTCACGGCCCCTAACGCACGTCGCGTGTGATCCACAATATCCTGAAGCCCTGACACCATCTCATTTTATATTAGGCTACTCCTCAGGTCGTCCTATTCCAGCCAACTTAAACGACAGTGACATGTGCAGTAGATCTGGTTGGAGAAGAGCACTGCGTATGGCTGACCACTTTTGGAAGCGTTGGATTACAGAGTATTTGCCCACACTATCACCACGAAGATTTGTAGGACAAGTGCCACAAATTTCAGTTGGAGACGTCGTCGTAGTCGTGGACGGAACGTTACCAAGAGGTACTTGGCCTAAAGGCCTAGTTACGACTTTGTACCCAGGTAGGGACGGCGTGACACGGGTCGTAGACATCGATACCCAGGCAGGCGTAATTCGTAGACCTGTTAAAAGGGTTGTTCCCATCTGTTTAAGAGGGGAGCATGTGCAGAACGCACCTTTTTAGAGAATATTTTTAAATTTTATATTTTTATTTTGTTTTTTAATATCTGACAATGTCATTGACTCTTTTCATTATTATATTTGTTCTCTACCACTAGCAGCGACCGTCTTATTATTTCGTAAAAATATACAGTCCTTTTTCAAGAGCATATCTCTCGTTAAAATATAGGGGAGCATGTGCAGAACGCACCTTTTTAGAGAATATTTTTAAATTTTATATTTTTATTTTATTTTTTGATATCTGACAATGTCATTGACTCTTTTCATTATTATATTTGTTCTCTACCACTAGCAGCGACCGTCTTATTATTTCGTAAAAATATACAGTCCTTTTTCAAGAGCATATCTCTCGTTAAAACTCATTGTATCCCAACGTTTGGTAGTTACGGACAATTCTATCATTATATTTGTACATTAGGCTTTGCCCGCAATTGAGTATTGGATTTTGGAAGTAGGTAAATTAATAAAATATAATAAATGTTCATAATCGATGAAATGAGTGGAGGCGATATGTCGCAGTTTAGGATTATAACTATTGCATGCTTGGACGCGGCCGTGTGGTCTCAGAATAGAAAGGATCACCCCTTCCTTTTCCGTGGGTGTCGTAACAGGCAACTAAGGGAACTTAATGATCAGGGTATGGGCAGTAGCGTTCCTCTCAGACTCAGAATGGCAAACAAGCTGACGGCCCACCTAATGGAAAGTGGTAACCGTCGCCTATAGACATAACAGAGTATACTTTTTCGCCTATAATACCCCCCCCCCCCTCATTGTCATTCCTGAGGACTCAAGAATTATTCCTCCTTGTAAATTCACTGCCATCAAACCCTTCAAACTAAAACACAGCCATGCAAACACAACTGCTTCACGGTAGAAACACGAATGGAACAGAGGTGCGCAAACAAACCACTTTTGTACGAAGTCTCCCTCTGATGTCCCTTTTTATCTCAATCATTGAACATATTCGACTCACGCGAACAAAATCGCGTGGAAAAGCCAGTAATTATTATATATCATTTTACCGCTTCTGTCTTGTCACTTACAAACGTTTGGAACGGTCTCAATTTCTCCCCTGATTGATTGCCCTACTATGCCGCTTCCTCCCGTAGATTCGGACATTTTTCAACATCCAACAGTGTGCGACACGCCTTTATTGAATGGTTAGATCGGAAAATGGCCAGCTTTTAAAGGGAACAACGTTGCTCTTCTTATTCTCGCTAATCCTACCGCTGTCCTACTTATAAATGTGAAATTTTGTTAAGGTGTTTAAATGTTTATAACTTATTTATGCTTAACCCTTCTTTGCATGATTTTTTTATTGGTGTAATAAATCAAGGTGATATAATTCATGTTCAAAATTAAAAGACTAAAAAAATAAAAGTGTTTTTTTTTTTCTGCAATGGACATTAAAAAGGCATCCAGACACGATCAAATTAAAGTGAAATTGTTCTTTTATATAATTTTTTCGCATTCGATGTTATGATGGAATTTTCCACCATTATGCAAAGAAGGGTTAAATGACTTAAAGGATTTAAATAGAATTTAGTACACAAATAAGTCACCTATATATACTAATATTATAAAAAAGAAAGATTTGATTTTTGTATATTTATTTATTTGTTTGTACATTGATTTTAAAAATTTTACGAAATTCTTTCACCTATAGAAAGCTGCATTATCATCAAGTGATATGTTATACATTATAAAAAAAATAAGTAGAAATTACGCGAAACATTTATTAAACTAACTTAAAGTATCAAAAATTTGCCTATTATACACAATTTTTTCTCTCTTTATAATATTAGTATATATAATGTTCTCTTTCCATCTGAAACAAAATCCAACCGCTAATTATTGCCTAAATAATTTACCGTCCATTAAATTTATTATATATATTAAATTAAATATGTAAAACCAAACCAAGCCTTTGAAATTTGCTCTTAAATGAAAACAGATTGGCGCAAACCGTTCATATCTTGAAAGTATTTTACAATACATTGACTGTTGATTTATTTATAACATATGTGTAATAGTTAATCTATGTTTACACATATATTTATTTATATTTTTATTTACCTATACTCTGTTATTATCTATAGTTGCCAATAATATTGTTTGTTATTTTTCATATTATTTTTGCACCATATATGTTGTGCTTTATATACAAACCCTATAGATACTTTCTCCTTTCGGATTCTCAAGGTTGACTAAAAGAAATCCTTTTAAGGTATATGTTCGCCTATGTACATTTTTGGTATAACCTTAATGTCTTAAAAGTGGAACTACAAAAGAATATAAATAAATAAATAAATAAATATGTAAATCCTTTTCAACAATATGTCAAAATAAATATTTACAATATCCGTTAATAAGCCATTGTTTAATATTCCATTGTTTAAAATACTGAAAACACCAAACTGCAATTCCTTTGTAAAGAGCTGTGTTAAACTTCATAATGTGCAAAAAATGCACGCTGAATATGCATGAGACGCATTATGCCACCGTATTGTGAATGGGACGTCGAAAGCCATAGATATAAATTATAGTGGAAACTGACCCATACTTAATTATTACTACCGATCAGGGTATCAGGTCGACTTCCACGTAGTTCCCTCAGGAAACCATCGCACTGCATTCCAGGTGTATTCATCACGATGGGCTAACTAACCTGCCTTTTCATTCTCATCTATCATCCCTCACTGGTGCCCCTTTAGCGTATACTTATAGCGCAGGTGGGGTTATCATTCCATTAATTTCATTTCAGCCATTATCCGTCCACTGCTGGACATAAGCCTCCCCCATAGACTGCCATAAAGAACAGTACCGAGCCATCTGCACACACTGGCTGCCTGCAAAGCATTTTAGGTCGTCACTCCATGTAGTGGGGAGTCGTCCTACACTGCGTTTATCCGTACGCGGTGGCCTCTCAAGAACCATTCTTCCCCATCATTCCGTATCATTCCATCATCATACATTAAAGAAATCGGTGATATTCAAGACCATACATACCAACTCCTCGAGATAAAAGAAGGAAGAGGATGTCTAGTAACGGGGTTTACGATCAGGTTAAATTTCGCGCGATTGTCATTTGGAAAACACCGCGGTTTACTCTTGGTGAATTCGTCACTATGGATCAACTGAACTGACTTTATTGTTGTCTATTAACACAAACTTTTTTTTTTCTTTTTTTATACAACTTAGAATGGCAAACAAGCTGACGGCCCACCTGATGGAAAGTGGTAACCGTCGCCTATAGACATGAGCAGTACCATGGACATAACAGAGTACTGTTTTGCCCATGGTACCCCCCATGCGTTGCCATTCCTGAGGACTCGGATGTTATTCCTCCGTACCCAGTAAATTCACGCCATATCCCACCCTTCAAACCGAAACACAGCTATGCAAACACAACTGCTTTACGGTTGAAACACGAATGGGACAGAGGTACCTAAGCAATTGACTTTTGTACAAAGTCTCCCTTTGGTAAACTAACTAACTGATGCTACGCCAGTATATACCGATAGTGCAGGTGTGATTACTATTCCATTATCATCTATTTAAAACAGCCAAGGTTCAAGGGAGAGGGGCCTGATATATATTATCAGATCGCATTCTCGCATCCCATCGCATTCTTGGTGAATTCGTCACGATGTGCTTACTGACCTGAATTCATTTTCACTTTTTGTCAGTTACTACGGGAGAGTGATTGTTAGTAAGGGGACTAACAGCACATTGCTAGCATTTCGACTTATTCGAAGTCTTCTAGAAACCATTAATGAATGTTAATTTATGAATTCGTCACGATGAGCTAACTGAGCTATCTTCGTCTTTCATAAGTATTGTATCCTACCAGCATTACCAGAGGGAGACTTTGTACATAAGTCGATTGCTTGGGTACCTCTGTCCCATTCGTGTTTCAACCGTGAAGCAGTTTTGTTTGCATGGCTGTGTTTCGGTTTGAAGGGTGGGATATGGCGTGAATTTACTGGGTACAGAGGAATAACACCTGAGTTCTCAGGAATGACAACACATGGGGGGTATCATGGCCGAAACAGTATACTCTGTTATGTCTATGGTACTACTCATGTCTATAGGCGACGGTTCCACTTTCCATCAGGTGGGCCGGCAGCTTGTTTGCCATTCTAAGTTGTATAAAAAAAAATTAACAATAACATAACTAAGTTAGCATCCCATGTCGTCCATTTAAACAAGAAACAAAAATGTGACAAGTGACGTCTTCCCTACCACTTTAGTACCATGATAAAATACCTTCCTTTGTCATAGTACAGCAGAATATTAATTTAGAAAGAAAGAAATAACGTTGCGTGGAAACTAACGCTCAAAATTGATAGGTACGGTTTAATAAATCGCACCGAGCCCCTGCCAGTGTCAGTTCGCTCGGATATTGGCGAGATCGGCCCGGTCATATTTCGTCCGTATGCCATATTCACGTGGCATTCGTAACTAGATTTATTTCTATAGTCTTACCACCATTTTAAGAGAGAATCTGTAAACGTTCTGCAAATGTTTTTTTTCTGTTCTTGTAATAATTTACAAAAGTTGTTTTGTTGTTCAAAACAACATAACAACTTTTGTAATTTATTGTTTCACAAAACATGTTCATGTATGGAAGTGAAGCGATGTTACTGAAAATGCATGAAAGACAAATCTGCGAAAAATGAGAGCTCTGAGCAAAAATTGTAATCTTGTTATGAAAAATATAACTTTTGTTAATTTTTACTATACGAATTTACAAATATACATAAAATAACATGAATAAGGCTTCAATTGGTGAAGAAAAATTATAAATAACATTTGTAAATTGGTGTTTTATAAAACATTTGTATTTTGTATGTAAAAACGCAATTAAAGAAGCATGGAAGCGAATCTCGGAGTACTAATTCCAGTTCAGTTCTGACAGAATCTAGACTAGAGCAAGAAACTTCAAATGTTAATGGTAATCAAATGAACCAAACTTTAGTGAACTCAGAAGAGAATTAAACA